TTTTGTGCAATATTGAAAGCACTTGCTTCTGGGTCCAAGAAGTCCAACCCGGAGCCTCATCCTCTTGAGCAAGGCGTTTGGGCTGGAATGACCCCCAGCTCATATAAGAATGGTCAGGGGGGTTTGCTCAGGGGGGCTCACTAACCCACCTCGGCTAGGGCACGGTTCTTGTCACATCAGGGGAGCAAAGGCTCCATGGCTTCAGCTCCTCAATGTGGAAAGTAACTAAGACTCCTCGGTCATATAAGGAAACTGTCACACTGAAAGGGGGTATATGTTGATAACACCGAGGGCAAGGGTTTGGATCCATGAACCGGCCAGCCGCCAAACAAAAAAAGAAAGGGGGTACACAGACACTGCCTGCCCACAGCGGACACACTGGACGCCCCCTTCTGAGAGGGCTTGGGGGATAGCTAAGCTGTAACCAGCCTCAGGAAGGCGCACTGGTGTCTACAGTGGGAGGTGGGATGTGACCTGGGCAAGCAGTAGGGCAGGCTTCCTCCGGGATCGGCTTCCTCCGGGATCGGCTTCCAGGGAGGAGACTCCAGGGCGGGAATGCGCGGGCCAGGCAGTGCGGGTCGTTCTAGAGCGCGGAGGGGCGCCAGGGGAGGACGGGGGTCCCGGAGCAGGAGGTCCACCCTCACCCTGCGAAGTCATTACCTTTTTCCTGAGAACATGGGCCCGAAAATCACCTAGGAGAGAAGGAGATGTCACCTCGGGGCCCGCTCCGCGCGGACTCGGGAGCCCCGCCGCTGCCGCTGCCCCGCAGACTCACGCCGGTTCCCGCGCCTCCCGCCTTTACCCGCGGCGCGCTGACCAATCGGGAGCCGGCGCCCCGCCCCGGAGCCAATCAGCGCCCGGCCGCGGGATGGCGGGAGATTTAACCGCAGCCCGCCCCCAAGTGGGAGGAACCGGGGACTGCAGCGCAGAGGCTGGGCTGGCTCCTGACCCCAGGGTGAGGGCGGGGCTTAGAGGGGCGGGGACTAATCTGAGCCCCGCCCCGCCCGCCGCCGAGTATAAAAGGGCAGGAGCGCGGCCCCTTCCTGCAGAGGGCGGGATGGATGCCCCTGGCTCTGCTCATGGGTTTGAGGCTCCGTGGAAGAAGATGTCTGCACAGGTAGGCGGGTTGCGGGAGGGCTGCGGCCGCGGACCTTAGCTCAGAGGTCAGGTTGGAATTCTAAGAAGGAAGTGTAGAAGCCACCCATCTAGCGGGGCCACCCCAGTGGGCGCCCTGAGCGCCTCCGGTGCCGGCTGCTCCTGGAGCAGCGCAGGGTGTTTTACCTCCGCCGCAGGCAGGTTGGTGTTAGCCTGATTTGGAGGACAGAGAAAACTGAAGTCCTGGCTGTGATACTCTCCGTAGGCCCGCGGGGGGTCAGGGGCCGAAGTTCTCGTCCTTAATTTGAGGTTGTGCAATGTGGTTGGTCCCGTGCCTCTGTGCCAGGCGCTGAAGGATGCGGAACGGCAGGTATTTGCTGTCGGGTTATTCTGAGGGTCAGAAACGATATATGCAAAGCATGCGGTACAGTACCTGGCACTCGTTGTGATGATCCTTTGATTATAATTTCCTAACTAGTTTTCCTGCATTTTAGGCAGTGGTTTTTTGTCTGGTCGTGGACACATTTGAGAATCTGATGAAAGCCATGGATACTGCTCCAGGTCTCTCTCTCTCTCTCTCTCTCTCTCTCTCTCACACACACACACACACACACACACACACGCCTACAATATCAGAAGACTCTCAGAAACTCATTGCGTTACCATTATCATAAATAATAGCAATAAGGGCCGGCCCAGTGGCGCACTGCTACGGTGCGCCGCTTGAGAGCGCGGTGGCGCTCCCGCCGAGGGTTCAGATCCCACATACAGACTGGTTCCCTCTCACTGGCTGAGCGAGGTGCGGGTGCGACACCGAGGGTTGCGATCCCGTTGCCGGTCCCGGTCCAGTAGAGGCGCGACACTGAGGGTTGCGATCCGTTGCCGGACACGAAAAAAGACAAAAAAAAAAAAAAATTAAAATAAATAAATAAATAAATAAATAAATAAATAAATAAATAATAGCAATAAAAAAAAATAACAAAGTCTGGCCAGTTAGCTCAGTTGGTTAGAGCACGGTGGCATGGTGTTCTAAAACCATGGTCAGAGGGTGGGATCACCGTACCATCCAGCTGCCAAAAAAAAAAATCCCAAAACAAGTAAAGAGCATTGAGGATGATGATAGTAGTCTCGGAGTGTCCCAGATGTAGCTGTAAGCACCTTACAGGTAATGACCTTTACAGGTACAGATTGTACAGATCCAAGGACCTCTGGCCCAGTTTTTTTTAAGGCTGTGAAGCAAAGAGAGTGGAGAAGGAGCAAAGGAATCTGTAACTGGTTGTGATCAATTAATTGTAAACACCACTGCACTCGGGCCCCCTCTTTCAACATTTTAAGGCGCTAGTATGCACATTATACCAATGAGGGGACTGAGACCCAGAGACTACTTAACCCTCCCAGGGTAAAACAGCAGGAAGGGATGGAGGCCGATGGCATTCGGCCCCAGGCCTTTCCACAAGGCCACTCTGTGATGATGCCTTTGAGCCCTTTCTCCAAAATCTGGTCCCTTGTTACACTCTGCATTAAGTCTGAACATCTTAGCCCCACATTCAGGACCCTACATCCTCCAGGCCCAGCCTCCCTGCCTCGCCTCTCTGCGCTTCAGCGAGCTGGCCAGTCAGCATTTGCAAACTGACCTTTGGTTCCTTCCTGCTCACCTCGGTGCCTGTGACTGTGCTGTGTCCTTCTGTGGTCAGAATTGCATCCAGTCAGGGAAGATGACTCCATGTCATCTTCTCTGCAGTGGTTGTCCTGCCTGCCTGGCCTCCTGTGGTCTTAGCTGCTGTAGGAATGGGGCCCATGATGGCATTAATGACACATATGACACATTTTGGGGACTGCATCTCCCCTTAAGGTCATCGGCTGGCTACAGGCATGGCTGTCATTGGAGTACTGTTAGGCCATGGATCTGAGGGCATCTTCCAAGTTGTGTCTGAAGCACCTAATGAGGGCACCTAGTTGGGGAGGGGATTGGGGAGCAGGTTGCCAGGCTGGTGGTTGGGGGGGGCTTGAAGGAAGCTGAGGGCATTTTCTAGAGCCTGGGATATTGGGGAGGGGGCTTCTCAAGGCAAAAAGGAGCATCCAGGCACGCAGAGGAGTGGGAGCACATTCTGTGTTGAGAACGAAGGACTTATGGAGCCTTGTGTCTGTGTCCTATAGGAGTTGGAGAATCAGTACGCCCCCAGCAAATGGGTCGTCCGACTGGGAGCAGAGGAAGCCTTGAAGACCTACTCACAGATAGGAAACGAGGGTACTGGTGCAACCTGTCTGTGGTCGTGTTGGGCCTGGGTGATGCCTTTAGCATGTGGCAGTGGTTCAGAATGCTGGGGGCAGGGAGGAGGAGCCATACCACCAAGCCTTGAGGGGCATTTCCCAAACACCGGGCACTGCATAAGCCTGCTCTGCTCAGGGGCAGGCGCCAGGAGCCCTTGCTGCAGAAACTGGCAGAGACGGAAAAGGCCTGGGTGAATGAAGTCCATGGCTCAGCGACCAAGCAGACACAGTTAGTACAGCTCTATTTGCTCAAAAAATATGCGGGCGTTTCTGGGGGGAGAAGACCTGTTTCCTTATCTTAATTGTCTTGAGGGATAAAAGAGCTGACCCCATAGAGAAAGGGAGTCAGCCGTAAAAAGCAAGAGTTAAGAAGGATGTGCTGCTTGATGTGCTCAGAAACTCTTTAATAATCTCTCCCTTCCTTTTTCTGGGGCTCCAATAGACGTGGGGGTGCTGCAGGTATAGATGAAGAGTGGGAGCCCATGACAGGGTAAGGCGAGTGAGGCAGGGCTGTGCACGTGCTGGGTTGGAGCCTGTCTCTATTTAAAATGTTAGTATTTTGTTCGTTATGGATTTTTTGGCATTCATTTTGATTTTTTAAAAATTGCACTGGGCTGGCCGGTTAGCTCAGTTGGTTCGGGTGCAGCCTTGTAATACCAAGGTCAAGGGTTCGGTTCCCCATACCAGCCAGCTGCCAAAAAAACAAAAAGTTGCATTAAAGTATTATTGATCTTAAGGGCCAGCCCGTGGCTCACTCGGGAGAGTGTGGTGCTGATAACACCAAGGCCACGGGTTCGGATCCCTATATAGGGATGGCCGGTTAGCTCACTTGGGAGAGCGTGGTGCTGACAACACCAAGTCAAGGGTTAGGATCCCCTTACTGGTCATCTTTAAAAAAAAAAAAAAGTTATTATTGATCTTAACTTCTGAATTTTTGGGTACCTCCGTACCCAGCCCCACCCCTGCCTTTAAATTTTGTGGCCAAAGCAAGTACCACACTCTCCCGGTTGATGAGGTTAAATTGAGCTTAAATAACTTACTCTAGTTCCTGCAGCTAGTGGCTGTGAGCTGCTTCCCGAGCTGAGCTTCCAGGTAAGAGTCGGGCAGATTGACAGGAGGGTGATGTCAGGTCAGGTGAGTGTCCAAGCCGGCCTCTCCTGGTGCAGTTAGTTCCCTAGACTTCATCGGTGCTGCCTGAGATTGCCTCATTGGAATCAAACTTATAGGAGACAGAAGGGAATGTAAAGCAGACGTTGTTGGGGAAATAGAAAAATAAGGTCTCCTGCCAACCCAGAAGACCTTTCCACAGAGGTAGAAGAGAAAGAAAATGTTTTATTATTGAGTAAGGATTAAACCACACCGTGATGCCTACACATCACAGGTGATCCCCTAAAGAGATTGCAAACCCAGAGACAACCCATTGCATGCCTGTTCTCAAGATACTTGCCATGCCTGTCATCAGGTAGGAAGACTTGACAGCACAATTTGCCACGCTAGTTCATCCTAAGTCCACCTGGTATGATTAGAGTGGCCGCCTGTGTGTGCTAATTCCCACATCTTCATAACTGGAAGGAGTTTTGCAACTTGGAGCCAGGTGCCTGCTGAAGCGAGGCCCCTTCCCTCCCATGGATCGGAGGTAGGGGTGGGAGGAGGGGCGTTATCTTCCTTGATGGTTACATCTCAATAGATGGCTCCAGGTCGAGAAAACATTCCTAGGTTGTAAAACTGGTGAGAGACTTATTTAGCTTTTAAACATATCTACATCTCAAAGGGGCAGAGAAAACATTTACGATGATAAGTTTCCTAAAATAAATGTTCTAAGAACAGGGAGGGAGAAAATGCTTTTCCTTTTTTGCACCAGGGAGATTTTTTTTTTTCTCTTTTATTTGGGGGGGGTGGCGTTGTCTGCTATGGGCATCTGACCACTTGACCCTGGTGTTATCAACACCATGTTCTAACCAGCCGAGCTAACCAGCCAGCCCCAAATTAGTTTTCCCATGACACTCAGTAAAAACACATTTTACAATAAACAGAAAGTGGTATATTCTGTCCAGACACAAAGGACAAATATTGTATGATTCCATTTAAATGATGTTCCTAGAGTAGTCAAATTCATAGAGACCGAAGTTAGAATGGTGATTGCCAGGGGCTGGAGAGAGGGAGGAACGGGAAGTTAATGTTTTTCGTTGTTTGTTTTGTTTTGTTTTGGTGGCTGGCCAGTGGCGGGGAGGGGGACATTAGTAGGGGCAGATGGTCAGTTTTTCACTGTGAAATCTACACGACGCTCTTCCGATCTAGTTCTGGATATGGACAGTGGTGATCGTTGCATACCAGTGTGAATGTACCTAACGCCAATGAACAGTACGCTTAAGAATGGTTAAGATGGTAAATTTCATGTTATGCATATTTTATCACAATTTAAAAAATATTTTACATCATATTTTGTTGTATTTTATTTTTTTGGCAGCTGGCTTGCCAGGGGATCCAAACTCATGACCTTGGTGTTATAAGGCTGTGCTCTAACCAACTGAGCTAACCAGTCAGCCCAAAACTTACCATTTTAACCATTTTAAAGTGTATGATTCAGTATATTGTTGCGCAACCATCACCTTTATCTGGTTCCAAAACATTTTCATCATCCCAGAAGGAAACCTCCTATCCATTAAACATCACTCCCTATTCCCGTGATAAGGATTGAATTGTTTCCCCCAAGTTTTATGTATTAGAAGCTTGATCCCTCCTGTGACTGTGGGGAGGGTGGGAAATCCTATTATGGTCATTGAAAGGAGGATGCTTGAAGAGGTGATTAGATTGTGAGGACCATGCCTGGTGAATTGATCCACTCACTGAGTAATAAATTGATAGATGAGTGGTGGTCCTGGACATGGTTCTGATGGCTTTAAAAGGAGGCAACTGAGAAGGTCACCTCTCTCTCTGCTCTGCCATTCTTGCCATGTGACACCTTGCATTGCTATAGAGTCACCTTACCAGACGTGTTTCCCGGACTGTGGACTTCCCAGCCTCCGAAACTATAAGCAATAAATGTCATTGCCTTATAAATTTCCCAGTTCCAGTTATTTTTGTTATAAGCAACAAATGGGCTAATATACCACCCTTCCCATATTTGGATTAGTCTTTAGGGGTTCTGGCCTCCACTTCCCCTAATTGCTCTAACACAGTGCTCAGGTTGAGTCCATGGAACGAGCTTCTCAGACCTGGAGTTCTTGTCTGTAAGAGTTTTGACATTTTGGGTTATGAATAACAGAAACCCAATTTTTGCTTTAGCGAGAAAGGAAGTTTGTAATAAGGTTTATTCTGGAGGCAGTGGGTTACCTTGTTCTTTCTCTCTGTACCCCAGCTGAGCCACCTCCTAGAGGGGCAATTTCTTTTCCTCAGGGTCAGCTGAGTTTTTTAAATATCTGAGGGAGGCTTATACAGGATAATGATAGCTGCTTTGTTTTAATTGCTGTCCAATTTTGGGGAGATAATTTTCATGATCTTTTTCTTTTCTTCTTCTTTTTTTTTTTTGCAGCTGGCCAGTATGGGGACCCAAACCCTTGACCTTGGTGTTCATGGTCTTTTTCTTAGTTTTAGCACAACCTAAATCTGGTGCATTACGTATGCATCAGAACAAATCGCTGCCTTTTGATCGCCTCCTCTGTTGGTGAGCCTGGGAGGCACAGTCATGTTCACACTGAGCTGGTTGCAGTGGGGTTGGCAAAACCCTGTGGAAAGCCACTGGCAATGTCCTTCAAGTGACAAATGCATCCACCTTTGACCCAGAAACTCCACTCCTGAGAATATCCCACAGATATTTACACACAGGTACAATCATATATGTATACACCTGTTCATGGCAGGGTTGCTTGTGATAGCCTAGGCTTGGAGACGGCCCAAATGACCTTCAGGAAAGGCTGGTGGCAGGTCTGCAACCCAAAGGGAAGGCCCTCACCAGACACCAGCCCTGCAGGCACCTTGACTTTGGACTTCAGCCTCTAGAACTGTTTAAGCAGCCCGAGCTGACTCATCAGGAGCCCAGGACGGATTGAGGGGAGGAGTGATGTCCGTTCAGAGTGGCTCACACTGTAGCTGTAGGGTGTCCAGTTAGAATCAGGGAGAGCAGAGAGGACCTGTCACTGCCCTTCAGGGGACAGGCGAAGGGGTTCCAAACCAGGGTGGCCTCAGGATTCAGGATAAGCTGCGGAGGGAGAGCCAGGAGGGTTTCCTGAGGATCAGATGTGGTCTGAGAAAAAGGAGTCTTCCCTGGCGCCGGGGTGTTTAGCCCGAGCAGCTGCAGCCAGCCGGCTGCATAAATTAACATGCAGTGGGAAGATGGAAAACCAGGTCACTGTTGAAAAGAAGAAGGATAATGTTGAGGATGCTCTCTGTGTACTCATAAGGAGAGATCTGCAAGCAGGGCGAAAATGTGTTTAACAAGGGAGGGGAATTCTATGTCCATATTAATAATGTGGTCACCTTGGCAGGGGCTGGGCGAACGGGGCAGGTGAGAAGCGGGGAGGGGGCATTTCACTGAGAAGACTTTTGTGTATTTTTTTTAACCATATAAACATGTTATTTCTTCGAGAGAAAAAATAATGGCGTTCACTTTTTTTATTAATGCTCAGTGAGCTCATAACTCTCACAGATGCAATTCCCCTAAACATTTAAATGCAATTTGCGAAATATGAATAAACTGTTAATAAACACTTCAAAGTATAATCACAAATGAAGTATATTTGGCTTAATTACCAGTATCTTGTGGTTCTAACCAATTAAAATGTATCTATTTAATAACAGATCGATTCTGTTAAGCATGTTCTGCAGAGTGGTCTGTACCCAGCCCAGCACATGGGGACACTTGGTCTCTTTTGTTCTGGTCATTAGATCCTCTGCAGAGGGACACCTAGCCTCTCTGAACAGCTGGTCTGCTTAAAGCTGTGGGAGAGGGGACCCTTCTACTCTGCCTATCATGGGAGGGGAACCCAGGTAATACAACGGGACATCTCTCTCCAAAGAGCCCTCTGCCATGCCTTGTGTCCTTACTCATAAAGGGCTGGTGGCATGGTCTGTTTTTGCAAACTGGTTTTGCAGCCACTTTGATGTCCTGCCGAGGCAGCCTAGTGCCTGGCTGGGGCACCTGGGAAACTCAGCATGTACCGTCATTATTCTCTCTTGTCCTTGTAGATTGGGGACAGCCCATGTTAACAGTTCGTGCACACTGATGGAAACACAGTTTATACAAGCTCTCAATCTGATGTTAATTTCCTCACCTACGATGCTACCCCTTGTGGGGTTGCAGAATGGATCACCCACCAGAGGGAAGCACAGTTTTCTTTTTGGGCCCACTGTGACCGCCTGTGTTGGAGACCTGGGTGCCTCCAGAGTTGCGGGTTGATACACAGAGCCTTTTCTGAGATGCAGGGGCTGCTCGTGGTGTCTAAGGGGAGCTGGAGTGTACATCTTTCAGGAGGATCAACCCAGCAAATCAATTGTCCCTTGATGGTGCTGGAGCACAGCTGTGGGAAGGGGGTGGCTGGAGTCTGGGTGTGGCCAGATTGGAGGGGCAGGGCATGGACAGGCCTACAGGTGGCTCCCTGAAGGTTAGTGCTCTGCTAATGGGAATTTTGAAGGTCGTGTTATGTAAAACACTTATTTAGCATCTGTAGTGCGTTGCAATTCAGGTGACCACCCTCCCTCCAAAAAAAGGATATGCCCATATGCTAACATTATTTGGAAATAGGGTCTTTGTAGATGTTAACTGGTTAAGGTGAGGTCATACTGGATATATATATATAAATATATATTTGTGTGTGTGTGTGTGTGTGTGTGTGTGTGTGTGGTGGTCAGTATAGGGATCCGAACCCTTGACCTTGGTGTTATCAGCACCATGCTCTACCCAACTGAGCTAACCAGCCAGATCCTCCTTCTATTTTTTAAACCCCAAATATAGCATATTCCATTTTTCACAATTTTCTGCTGCTTGAATTTTTTCCGCACTTACTGACATCTCTTGCAGATCATTTTATCAGTGCATTATTCTTTTCCATGGCTGCATAGTATTTCTACATAAACACACCATACGTTATGTAACTGTACCCATGTTGATGGAGTTTTAGGTGATTTCTAATCCAATGCTCTTTTAAACAAGGCCATCCAGTTCAGGTGATGCACAAAGAGGATGAGTAATATAAAATGTGCTACAAATAGTCATACCTACCAACGTGAAGTTGTTGCCAGATTTAAGGAAATTTGTCACCACTCACCAGAGGTTGGGGGATGGACTGCAGGTCAGTGGCGGGTCAGACCCTGTGAAAGGGTGTGAAGTCTGAGTGGGGTGGGCTGCAGGGTGGCAGGTCGGGTGGGGGCCACCATTCAGTTCAGGTGCCCCTGGGTCCTGACTACTTCCCTCCCTCTCATGGGGGTTTGTCTCAAGAAACAGGGAGTCTGGTGTCTGCAGACAGCCCCTGAAGTGTCCGATCTTCCAGATGATGCTGTAAGCTCTGAAAAGAAAGGGGTGGTGTGTCAGTTTGCTAGGGCTGCCATAACCAAGTATCGCAAGCTGGGTGGCTTAAACAAGAGAAATTGCTTCTCATGGCTCTGGAGTCCAGAAGTCTGAGAGCGAGGTGTCAGCCGGTCATGCTCCCTTGGCACAGAGAAGGATCTGTCCCAGCCCTTTCTCCTGGCTTCTGGCTGCCGGTAGTTCCTTGGCTTGTGGTGGCAGAAGCCCAGTCTTCACACAGTGTTCTCCCTGTATATGTGTGTCTGTGTCCACATTTCTTCTTTTCATAAGGACACCAGTCATATTGGATTAGGAGCCCACTCTAATGACCAACTTAACTAATTACCATCTGCAACAACCCTATTTCTAAATAAAGTTAAATTCTGAGGTTAGGACTTCAACCTATGAATCTGGGATGGGGGTGGGGTGCACCATTTAGCCCACAACTGGTGATGTTGCAGCAAGTATAGAGCTTTCCAGATTCTGGAGACCCTACCTTGTGATGAACGTGGCTCTGTGCCCAGTTAGGTCTGGGGCAGCCAAGAGAAGTGACCTGAAAGATGCTGCGTCTATCCCTGACCTCCTGGCTGGCCATCTCAAATCCAGTCCGATTTAGAATTTCTTATTTTAGGGGCTGGCCCGTGGCTCACTCGGGAGAGTGTGGTGCTGATAACACCAAGGCCATGGGTTCGGATCCCATATAGGGATGGCCGGTTAGCTCACTGGGTGAGCGTGGTGCTGACAACACCAAGTCAAGGGTTAAGATCCCCTTACCGGTCATCTTTAAAAAAAAAGAATTTCTTATTTTAGCTAATTGAGCTGGAAAACCTACTCTAAACTTATAGTGGCTTCTTCCCACCAATTTTCTTTTTGTTTGGTTTTGTTTTGGCAGCTTGCCAGTATGGGGCCACCAATTTTCAATATCAGGATGCATTGATCATGCCGTATGGTATTTGTGTAACCTGTTTTCACTGTTTACATAATGAAATTCTGTTCATTTTTTCTGTTTTGATTAGCATGTTTGGGGTGCTGTTTATGCAGCCTTTGCCTACTGCAATGTCATGAAGATCTGTTCTCTTTTTTAAAAGCTTTGTTGTGTTGTCTGTAGTGCATCTGGAGTTGATCTTTATGTATGGTGTGAGGTAGGGATCATGAAACTTTTTTTTTTTTTTCATTTGGATCTTTGACTGGCCCAGCACTGACTATTGAAATTCTTATTTGTTAAACAATTTTCTTTTCTTTTTTACACAATTTTCTTTTGAGCACTTACTATGTATCATGTACCGGGTGTACAGAGGTGGGCAAAACAAAGCCCTTGTCTTCACAGAGCTTAGATTCTAGTGACAATGACAGACAGATGGTTAACAGGTAAAAAGTATGTAAAGGATGATGAATACTGGGATAGAAAATAAAGCAGGGAAAAGGGATATATCATAATGTATTTAAGCAGCCTTCTATTACAGGTCATGTGGGCTGTATACAATATTTTTGCTATTTTATTATTATTTTTATTTTTTATTTTTTTCCTTTTTGTCTTTTTTACTGACCAGTAACAGGATCGCAACCCTTGGTGTCACGCCCGTACCGGGGACCGGCAACCGGATCGCAGCCCTCGGTGTTGCGCCCACACCGCGCTCAGCCAGTGAGCGGGAACCGGTCTGTATGTGGGATCCGAACCCTCGGCGGGAGTGCCGCCACGCTCCCAAGCGGCGCACTCTCCAGTGTGCCACCGGGCTGGCCCATATTTTTGCTACTTTAAATAGCATTGCTGTGAGCATCTGTAAAACAAATCCTGGGGAATACATTATTTACTGATTATTTCCTTATAATAAATGCACAGATAAGGACATATGCATTAAGAAATATGATCTATTTTTTTTTTTTTTAAGATGACCGGTAAGAGGATCTTAACCCTTGACTTGGTGTTGTCAGCACCACGCTCACCCAGTGAGCTAACCGGCCATCCCTATATGGGATCCGATCCCGCAGCCTTAGTGTTATCAGCACCACACTCTCCTGAGTGAGCCATGGGCCAGCCCAAGAAATATGATCTTTTGGGGGGCTTTGATACATATTTCCAAGCTGTCCTCCAGAAAAGTTTACCAATGTGCACTCTCTCCAGCACCCAGTGTTGGGTTTCAGTGATAGTTGTGGGAATGATTGGAGACACCTTTGTACCCAGACGTGAACATACGGAGTCCCCTCCCACCTCCACACCTTTGCCTGCAGTGTTTATTTCCCTTATGATGTCCTTCCTCCTTCCTCCCCACCCAAGTCTTAGCCAATTTCATATCACTCTGAGCTCTCTCATTGTGGCACTCAATTATTTATTCATGTTGCTTCATTATCTATTTATTTCAGTGACTTTCTGTCTTATTTTCCTAGAAGATTATTTCTGCAAATATTTGGAAAGGTGTATGCTTCCGAGAACAAATAGCATAATAAGCTTGTGATAAAGTAGCAGTGAGAATGGCACCTTGAGAACCGTGGGTTCACTTGCAGACAGACATCAGGACTGGGGAGTCCTCATTCATGGGGGTGCTCACGGCCGAGGCTGGCTTGTCAAGGGAGCTCCCAGCAAAGAGGCTTCTTCCCGAGCTGAAACAGAGGGGGCTGCTGCCTGAGCTTGTGCAGACAGCTGCTTGTCTCTTTTCTGAGACAGCCACCAAGAGGGCCCGGGCCACCAGGAAGACCCTGCTCCAAGTGCCCTACGGAGATGGCGATGGGGAGAAAGTAGACATCTACTTTCCTGACAAGGTGTCGGAAGGTGAGCCAGGGGCTGGTGGCCCCACAGCAGAGCCCCATGGGGGCCGGCCTCCCCACGTGCCCTGTGTTCTGTTTTACAGCCTTACCTTTCCTCATGTTTGTTCATGGAGGATACTGGCAGAGTGGAAGGTGAGTCGGGGAGTTTGGATGAATGGAGAGAATGGGAGATTCCTCTTTCCCTGGTGTATTGGTCTCCCAGGGCTGCTGCCACAAACTACCCCACACTGGGTGACTTGCAACAACAGAAATTGATTCTCTCACAGTTCTGGGGCCAGAAGTCTGAAACCGAGGTGTCTGCTGGGCACGCTCCCCCTGCAGGTCTAAGGAGAGGATCCATCCTGGCTTCTTCCAGCTTCTGGTGGCTCCAGGCATCCCTTGGCTTGTGGCTGCATCACTGCAGTCTCTGCCTCCGTCTTAACGTGGTCTTTGTGTGTCTGTGTCTCAGATCTTCCTCTCCTTTTTCATATAATGACACCAGTGGTTGGATTTAGGGCCCACCCTAATCCAGGATGATCTCATCTCAAGATTCTTAATTTCATCTGCAAAGACCCTATTTCCAAATAAGGTCACATTCACAGGTTCTGGGGGTTAGGAATTGGACATACCTTTTAGACAGACACAATTCAACCCACTGCACCCACTGAGAAGCATTTTCAGCCTACTCTCAAATCAGGGGAAGAGCCAGAGTGACCAGCTGTCCTAGTTTGCATGAGACTGAAGGGTTTCCCAGGACCTGGGGCTTTCGGTGCAATAAAAAAAAAAAAAAAAAGGTGAGTCCCAGGCATACCAGGACAGTTGGTCACACTAAGCTAAGCAGAGGGGTATTTGGGGTCTTGGAGGACACTGCTAGTGTGTGATGTGGCAAGGACAGAGCCCACCCTCCTCCCACCACCACTTGGGTCAGAGAGGGGCAGAGCTCTTTGTGGACGGGGCATCTGACTGGTGGCTGTGCAGGACACCCGGGAGACAGCACAGTGGTCACGTTGCCCCCAGTTGTCACACCTTTGTCTTTTTCTGCAGCAAAGACAGTTCGGCCTTCATGGTCAACCCGCTGACGGCTCAAGGAGTGGCCGTGGTGATAGTGGCTTATGACATCGCCCCCAAAGGTAATAGGGTAGTTACTGCAGGTTCAAGGGCTGGTGGGTTTGGGGGTGCAGAGAGCCCCTGATGGATCCTGACCCAGCTCGTGCTCTCTGTGCAGGCACCCTGGACCAGATGGTGAACCAGGTGACCAGGAGCATTGCGTTTGTCCAGAAGCAGTATCCCTGCAATGCGTGGGTGTCACTGCAGACTTTCTTCATGCTGGGTGGGAGGACAGTAGACTCAGTCCCCTGGGTACAGCCAAGCTGCCCCTCTGGTCTTTGGAGCAGAAGGCTACTGGGCATCCTTGATACTGGCCTGATGCCTTGGGGAAACTGAATGAGAATCCATTCCCTGCTCTGACCCGTCCAGGGGAATTTACTTGTGTGGACACTCAGCTGGGGCCCAGCTGGCCGCCATGATGCTCCTGGCTGACTGGACCAAGCATGGAGTCACACCCAACCTCAAAGGTGTCTGTGGGGCCTACCCCCCTCCCTATGGGCCTGAGGGTTTGGATGACTGCTCGAAATCCTAACAGCCGTGAGTGGCTTGGAGCCCTGTGAACAGGGGGCCTTTGCTTCCTCACCACCCCCTGCCCTGGTCCTGACCCCATGGCCTGGAGGGTGGACTGGTTCCATCTTGTTCCACCTGGAGCCTGGGCCATGACTGCTCTTCTGCTTCCAGGCTTTTTCCTGGTGAGTGGGGTCTACGACCTGGAGCCGATAGTGTACACTTCACAGAATGCCCTTGTGCACCTGACCCTGTGAGTCACCCGCCCACCACCGCCCTGCACCTGGCCTGGTGGTGCCTGGCTTCTCACTGTCCTGACCCTGCCCACCTCCCCCAACTCCCACACCAGGGAGGATGCTCAGAGGAACAGCCCCCAGCGACACCTGCAGGTGGCCCCGACGCAACCCGTGGATCCAGCCTGCCACATGCTGGTGATCGTGGGCCAGCACGACTCCCCCGAATTCCACCGACAGTCCAGGGAGTTTTATCAGGTACTGCCAGCACCTCGCTTCTGGCTGGAGGTCGGGGGTCATGTGATTGTCTCATTATCTTCCTCTTCCCCTCACCCACATGGGACCCAAGATCACCAGCCATTCAACAAATACTTAATGAGTAGCTGCTAGGTGCCTGGCACGTGACAGTCCCGCCTCTCCTCCTGCAGGCTCACAGTCCCCCTTCACCCATTTCTCCCACCCAGACACTGTGCCAAGCAGGGTGGAAAGCCTCGTTTGAAGAACTCCCCGATGTGGATCACTTTGAAATCATTGAGAATCTAACCCGGGAGGATGACACGCTCACCCAGGTGGGGCCTCGACCCTCCCCTTCCCCCAGCAGCCCCCTGCATAGTGGTCAGCATGGGTCGTTTTGTAGCCCCTAAAACGTACACAGAGGCCTTGGACAGGGCTGCATGGGGACCACCCTTGCCTGGTTCTTTGGCATCCAGAAGGTGGGGGGACCCTGCGGTGGGATGGAGTGCCGCTCTTGCTTCCTGCTCCTTGCCTCCTCTGGACAGCACTGGGTGATCGGCGGGTGCATCTGCACAGGTGGGACCTGTGACCACATGTGGCTGTGGTGTGGGTGGGGAGAGGCTGGTGCCAGAAAGTACTGGCATGTCTGTGTCTGAGCATAAAAGTAAAAGCCAATCCATAAAGAAAAGGATGGATGGGTTTAGCTACATAAATGCTTATTACAACCTTAATGCAGAGAACACCATAAACAATTGAAATCAAAGGACAAATTGATGCATGAATATTCATAACCAATTTTAAAAAAAGGATAAATTGAGAAAAATACTTGCCACAGACCTGGCAGATAAAGAGTTAATTTTTTTTTTTTTTTGGCAGCTGGCTGATACAGGACCTTTGACCTTGGTGTTATCAGCTCTAACCAACTGAGCCAACCAGCCAGCCCTAGTTTTTTTTCTTTCTATTTTCTTTGGGAAACTGGGCACTTGATTAACTTCACTTTTTAATCAGCTGCCACCTCAGTAGTGTTTTTATAGCATTCAGGTTTTGGTTTTCTTTTTGTTTTGGCAGCTGACCTATATGAGAAACTGAACCCTTGACCTTGGTGTTAAGCGTTCAGTTTTAATTCATGTAGTTAACGTCCTTATGACATAAAGAGCCTTTTACAGTCAATAAGAACAGTTCTTCTCTTTAAGAAGAGAAACAAGTAGGGAAAAAATGCACAAAGAATGAGAGATGATTTTAAAAGAAATATAAATAACCAGTAAACATGGGGAAAGATTAAGCTGCATTAAAAATGTAACTTGAAATGAGGTTTCTTTTCCACTTCTCAGTGAAAGTGATCTAATGATAACAAGCCCGTTGCTGGTGAAGATGTAATGAAAGGGGCATTCTCTGGTTCTGCTGGTGCCAGCTCACCATGGCCCAACATTTCTGCAGCCCAGTCTGGCAATGTGGACCCAAACCCACTGACTCAGTAATTCTGCTGCTGGGAATCTGTCTTAAGGATCATCAGTGAAACACACAAAGATGTTCTTTGCAGCTTTATTAATATTTAAAACTTGGAAACAACCTGAATGTCCAATGAGGTTAAATTATGATGTAATCAGGCAATGAAATGAAGTTTTTGAGAACTAGTTAGGATACGTGACATTGATTAGATGTTAGAGCATAAACAAGAAACAACACACCTGGTGTACTCCCAGTGTCACAACAGCACACAGACAGCCAGACCCTCAGAGGCACACGTGCATGTGAAAAACATTTAGCAGTGGTGTTAAAAGTGCTTTTTGAAAATCCATTTTCACGTTTTCTACCATGAATATGTATTTCTTCTTTTTTAAATTTTAACTGGGGAAAAAACAAACACCCATAAAACCTAAGAACCTAAGAAAGTAAAGAACCTAAGAAAGTCCAGCCTGTTTGTTTAATCAAATTCCTGCCAAGAGCTGCTCCTATTCTGGAACTTTTGTGTCTTCTCTTTCTGCTGCAGATTATTTTGAAAACAATCTTCCAGGAGTTCTGATGACACCTGGACCCCAGCCCGTGTGCACCCGGACACGTGCAGTCTCTTCAGAGAGCCTTCTAGCTGCAACTGACAGCTTCTGCTTTCCCCAGTGCCCGAGAGAGCCTTGGTCTATCTGCCTGCCCCAGCAAGAGTCCATCCTTCTCACTGCCGACCCCTGTGTAAGGGCTTCCCAAAGCAAGGCTTTCTTCTACCTTTTGCTTTGGTCTCTGTCCACTCTGTCCTAGGTTCTACCTGACATTTGGGTCTGTCCCTGAAGCCCTGGGATCTTGCGTCTAACACCTTGACCTTGAAAGGATAATGCCATCCACAGGTAGGACAAGCTTCCTGCGCCCCCCACCTCCAGGGGTGTGTGCAGTTCCCAAGGAGCCAGCTATATTCATCCACCACATGACACCCTCCATCCCATCACCTCTTTCTCCCACTCTGAATGTCTAGCAGTTCAAGGATTTCCACTGGGGCATGATGGATCACAGCAAAAATAGGAAATAGCCTAAATGTTCATCATCACGGAGTAAGTACATCCCAGCAGAATCAACCATGTGGCCATTAGAAGGAGACCTGTGCTTACCCCTTGGAAAATCTCCAAGACATTTTGTTACACGACAAAAAGCAAGATATAAAAAGCAGCTTAACAGGGCTGCCAGTTAGCTCACTCGGTAGAGCGTGTGTTGATAACTCCAAGGTGAGGGTTCAGATCCCCCATACCAGCCAGCTGCCAAGAAATAAATAAAATAAAAGCTTAATGATATAACGATATCACGGATGCTGTTATACAAAACACACTCACAAAACAGGTGTGTTTCTGTATGTGCCCATGTGTCTGAATTCAGAGAAGAAGGTTGGGAAGAATCCACACCTAACGTTGCCTGTGCTCCCCTCTGGGCAGGAAACTGGAGCTGGGAACATGTGGAGGACGGTGTTTACTTGGTTTGGATTCTTCAACTCTTTTACAGGAAGAACGTAACCAGTACTTAAACGTACCAGCCAGCTGCCAAACAACAACAGACAAACAAAAACATACTGTGTAATTCGAAGTATTAACATATTCACAAAGCTTTTGGGATGCAGGCAGAACAATGTCCTCTGGGACTCAGCACTCTTTGCTTTCCCTGTCTGTTAGCCGTTCACACCCATTTGGAGGGTTTTTTTTTTTTTGGTTTTTGCAGAGGTGGAGCCCTATAAAACTCTCCTTTCTGGCTGTTGCTGAGCAGACCGAGGCCTGTCTTGACCCTCTTTGTTTTCCTAGTGTCCAGAAACTGCCCATGGATTTGTTCCTAGTACCTGATTTCGCTCCCAGACTCCTGTATCTTCTAGATTTCTGCCAGTGGCTGGGAGTGTCCATTTCTTCATCTGTAAAATAATCTGGTTTGAGCAGGAAAAGACAGATCAATGGACAGAACCCAGACTGTGGAAAAGGTCCCACCGCTTAAGGGAATTTAGGAAGCGATAGAGGCGGTGTTTCAAACCTGTTATACAAAGCTGGTTAATGAATAAGCAACATGGGGGAGACTGGCCGGGCCTTGGAAAACGTAAATCTGAACACTTTGCACGCTCTTTCCGCTGACATACTTCCCGGAGCGATCAAGACTTTGACGCAAACCCCAGGAGAAACCAGAAGGAATTTTCTATGAATACCTTTGATAAATCATCTTAGCGTGGAAAAAGCCTTTGGAAGCATGACAAAAACCAACCAACCAGAAATAGAAAGCAAAAGTGATAAATATGACTCCATACACATTTTAAATGTTTGCAGGAAAAAATCCGTATCGCCAAGTCCTGAGACAAATAACTAACTGGGAGGAGGTATAACAAGCAAAGCCACGTCTCTTATGTATAAACCCTTCCCAAGCCATAGGAAAAATATTGGTAATCCAGCAGAGAAGGGTTGACAAGGGCACGCACAAACAAAATTACAGAAAAGGAATTCAGTGGGGCTGGCCGGTTAGCTCAGTTTGTTAGAACGTGCTGTTATAACAGCAAGGTCAAGAGTTTGGATTCCCGAACCGGCCAGCTGCCAAAAAAAAAAAAAAAGAAAAGAAATTACGTGGCCAATGAACTTGAGAAGAGGTGATCAGCCTCCCTTTATTTTTATTTTTATTTTTATTTTTATTATTTTTTTTAAAACGATGACCGGTAAGGGGATCTTAACCCTTGGTTTGGTGTTGTCAGCACCACGCTCACCCAGTGAGCGAACCGGCCATCCCTATATGGGATCCGAACCCGTGGCCTTGGTGTTATCAGCACCTCACTCTGCCGAGTGAGCCACAGGCCGGCTCAACCTCAAAGTTTTTTAGCAACATAAGCTTAGACGTTAAAAATTCAATCCCCAGACTGGCCGGTTGGCTCAGCTGGTTAGAGTGCTGTGTTATAACACCAAGGTCAAAGGGTTCGGATCCCCATACTGGCCAGCCACCAAAAACAACAACAAAATTTGACCCCAAAACATTTGGGACTTGGTAGAAATATAGAAGTTTCAAAATGACAGAAAGTATTATTGGTAAAATTTGAGGTAGCCCAAAGCTGATCTATGAATTAAATATTTGTTACAAAATCTTGGGCTGGTTAGCTCACTCAGTAGAGCTTGGTGCTGGTAACATCAAGATCAGGGGTTCGGATCCCCTTACTGGCCAGCCACCAATAAAAAGAAAAAAATCTTATGGAAAATGGGGAGTTGGTGTTTAATGGGTAGTTTCAATTGGAGAAGATGGAAATGTTCTGGGGATGGGTGTGGTGGTTGCAGACCATTGCGAATGTACTCAATGTCATTGAACTGTGAACTAAAAATGTTTACAGTGGTAAATTTTATGTTATATATATTTTACCATATACATATAACTATGTGTGTATATAAATATATATAACAAAAAGGATGATCAAAAAATGTAAGCATTTCAAATACTTCAGCTTAATTATACCACAGAAACAGAAAGAAACCAAAGCCCCAAATGTTGAGATTTTATTGCATATTATGAGGCATACTAACTTTTTAATATATATCTTATCAGTGCTATATATGTTACTCTTGTATATGGTTACAAGAAATTATTTTTTAAAATCTTAGGGAAAGATCGTACACAACTATTGAAAGTCAACTTTGGGGCCGGCCCATGGCTCACTTGGGAGAGTGTGGTGCTGATAACACCAAGGCCACGGGTTCGGATCCCTATATAGGGATGGCCAGTTAGCTCACTTGGGAGAGCGTGGTGCTGACAACACCAAGTCAAGGGTTAAGATCCCCTAACCAGTCATCTTTTTTTAAAAAAAAAAAAGAAAAGAAATCACAGAAATACACTGGCTTGATGGGGTTGACTCCAGAAGATTTTTTTTTTTGGCAGCTGGAGCATCTGCATCAGGCCAAGCCAGCAGCCATACCCAGGGAGCTGTAGCCCCACTCTGGGCCTGGATTGGCCAAGTCTACAGGCAAGTGCCTGCTCCCCTGGGCTTCCCTTTTCTGTGGTCCAGGCCGATTGTCCCTGTGCCATCCACTCACACCCAGGACTGCAGAGGAGATGGCACTCTGCAGGATTTTTATAGGGCCTTCTACCATAGTCGCGTCTTCGGCTCCCACACCCACCTCTATTTCAGAGTAGGCTCTGCAGGCAGCCTCGTTACCCAATGTTTAGGAGGCATTTCAGAGTGTTGCTCTTAGTATGTGGGGGTTCTCATTGAAAAGTCACAGATGGGACTTTTTTTTTTTTTAAGCTGTTCTCCCAAGGGACCTACTGTGCTGTCTTTGGTCTATGAGATGTTCCTGCTGGTGGAGAAAGGGGAGGAAAGAAAGGGTTGTCCCATGGGTCTGAGTGATTCTGGTCCCAATGGACATCTGAGAAAACTGAGGCTCAGAGAGGCCAAGTAACTTGCCTTGGTGGAAGATGTGGAATTAAAACCCCAGTCAGATTATCACCAACATCTATGGTCCACATTCAAGACTTAAGACTATGACTTTCTTTTTTTTTTTTTTTTTTTTAAAGATGACCGGTAAGGGGATCTCAACCCTTGGCTTGGTGTTGTCAGCACCACGCTCAGCCAGTGAGCAAACCGGCCATCCCTATATAGGATCCGAACCCGGGGCCTTGGTGTTATCAGCACCGCACTCTACCGAGTGAGCCACGGGCCGGCCCTAAGACTATGACTTTCTACATAAGCCAGTAAAGCATTGTTCTGCATGTGATGTGCTATCACAGTATCTTGTGTCGCACGGGACCTTGTCTGACTTATTTCCCGCTGGGCTATCTTCATTTGGAACAGTACTGGAGCGTAGTAGGCTACTAGTTAGTACTTTATGCATACATAGAAGAGCTCCATAAATATTGACTTTTGTCATCGTCTTAACTAGCTGGAATGCTCAAGACCCTGGGCGGGAGGTAGACAAGTTGGGTTTAAGGTCCTGCTCTAATGCCCATGTGACCTCTACGGACATCACTTATGCTGCACAGACCTATTTTCTCAACTGTAAAATGGAAGGTTGCAACACATACAGATAAAGGGCTAATATACGTAATATATACACACAAAGAACTCCTAAAAGTTAAGAAAAAGAGGAATAACTCAATAGGTAAATGGACCACAGACACATGCTGGCAAAAGTTAGGAGACCATACCTAGTGCTGACAAGGAAACAGGCGTGGCAGGTGGGAATGAGTACTGCTGCACCTTTCTGGAAAGTAACGTATTAAATGCACATTCAACCTAGCAATCTACTTTTGGAAAACTAGCCTATGGAAGCAAAAGTACCATGACACAAGGATATTCATACAAAAATATTTATTGCAGTATTATTTGTAATGGCACAAAATTGGATCCCTGAATGCCCATTGACAGGGGCATGTTCGAGTGAGATTGTTCACATCTGGAGCCCTGTGCTGCAGCTTGCAGCATAGCTAGAGCTCCAGCCATTGACCTGTAACGATATCTAATTCCGCTGGAGTTCTGGTGGAGAGACAGAGAGAGCTCCCAGGGTCCGTTTCTGGACTTCCAAGAAGCTTTAGTGGAAAGACTTGATAAAAGACGAGCTGAGTTAATAGCCTGTTTTAGGGTGGAGGTTTAGCTGTGCTGTGGATTTAATCCGCAATCTTTCCTCTGGCGGATGTGGGGCCCTTCTACCTGGGTGGGGACCAGGGGAGGTGCAGCTGGCATAAGGCGGTTCCAGGAGTGGGGAGCCCGCAGAAACATAAGGAGCCTTGCAGGGCTGGGCCTTTAGCTCAGTTGGTTGGAGCGGGGTGTTGTAACACCAAGGTCAAGGGTTCGGATAGGGGTTCGGGTCCCCATACCAAAAAAAAAAAAAAAGACGGGCTTGCAGGCTGAAAGGGCTTGACACATATGTGCTGGACAGGGGCCACACAGCCCGCCCTCCGCTCCTCTTGCAGCCACTCTGAAAGGTGTCAGTACCAAGCGGGGGACGGGCCACGCGGCGGGAGGACTACAACTCCCAGCCCGCCCCGCGCCGCCCAGCCTCGCCTTCCCAGAAGGCTGCGGGCGGCGGCCCGCTCCAGGGGGCGGGGCGTTCCCGACAGGCCCCGCGGTGCGCGCTTGCCCGCCGGATTTGAATCGTGGAGCCGGTGGCGGCGGCGGCGTCATGGGCGCCCGGTCTTTGCCCCCGGCCTGGCTGCTCTATCTCGAAGACCACCGCATCTCTACGTTCAAGAACTGGCCCTTCTTGGAGGGCTGCGCCTGCACCCCGGAGCGGGTGAGACCGGCCGGCCTCTCGGGGTCCCCCAGGCCCGCCCCGCCCTGTCCCCAGCCCAGCGAGGCCGTCCCGCCCCCCGCCCGGTGCCGGGCCGTGGAGCTCCCTCCGCAGAAACGGGGGGCCTCGGGAGGTCTGGGCCGCCGCGTCCGCTCACGCGCTGTGCTGCCCCTTGCAGATGGCCAAGGCCGGCTTCGTCCACTGTCCCACTGAGAACGAGCCCGACTTGGCCCAGTGTTTCTTCTGCTTCAAGGAGCTGGAGGGCTGGGAACCAGATGACGACCCCGTGTAAGTCCCTTGAGGCCAGCCTCGATGGGCTCCGTCGGAAACCTCTTGTTTTGAACCTCATCAAGTCTGATGTGGCCAGGTTGTCCTTGGGGTGGGTGCTGAAGAGAGACTTTTTCAGTGGAAGGTGCTTGATGCCTGTCAGGTTCAACCGAGTGCATTAGCAGACCCTTTGCACTCCCAGGAATGCCCAGTGCTTTCCTTGTTGGGGACTTTAAAAAAAAAAAAAACAGCTTTATTGAGATATAACCCACACAACACAAAAGTCACCCTTTTAAAGTGTCACTTAAGTGTTGTTTTGGATTTTGTTCTTTTTTTTTTGTAAAGATGACTGGTAAGGGGATCTTAACCCTTGACTTGGTGTTGTCAGCATCACGCTCACCCAGTGAGCCAACCAGCCATCCCTATATGGGATCCGAACCCGAGGCCTTTGTGTTGTCAGCACCACACTCTCCCAAGTGAGCTAACCGGCCATCCCTATATGGGATCCGAACCTGTGGCCTTGGTGTTGTCAGCACCACACTCTCCCGAGTGAGCCACAGGCTGGCCCTTGGATTTTGTTCTTCAAGACACCTAGTTATTTAAAAAAAAAATTCTCTGTATATATTCAGATGGAGCGTAATATCCGTCTTTCTGTAAAGTAATGCCATCCTCCGTTCTCGCCTTTTTTCCCTGTCAGAATCGATTGCTTCCACAACTTTAATTTTTTCCCCTAGAGAATCGCCCAAGTTGTTTCTCTTCTTGGCCAGAAGAATTTTGCTGTTTCCTTTAGTATATGTGCTATTATGATCAGTGCTGAATGGATGTCGTGGGGGTTGTACCAGTGATCACTGGAAAATATCAGTGGTGTTATTCTTGAGAGTGAATTTCTAAGTGTTATATATTTTCAGGTTATAGTTACTATTGGCCATTCTTTGAACTTCGGCTGTGTTTTCATTCTAACACTGTGCTGGTTACAGTGAAATCAGTTATTCAGGGATATTCCCATTGCAGAGAGTGATGGTATGAGGTAGGTGGGTCCCCTGGGGAAGCCTGGCTGGTGATGCACTATTTTGAACCAGTGGATTATGTAACGATTCCAGTGAAATGAAGTTATTTCAAATAGTTCCTTGAGGATTTTAGAGAGATTTGACATGTAACTCCTCTGGACTCATACCATATAACACTTTCCTACTAATTGCTAAGGACTCCAGATAAAATACATTAGCCACAAGAATGTGGGGGAAAATGCCCACAGAGAGAAAAGGTGCTCAGATGAGCTGTGTGGAAATGTGGCTGGGGACCTGCACTGATTTCCTTAACTTCAGACTTAACACTTTGCTCTTAAAGCAGAACAAGGTCTGTCTGATGGTGTGGGACAGGCGAGGGTGATGGAAATGGACTGTTAGTAAAGACTGCTGCTTTTCCCTTTCACCTGACTTTCCTCTGCTGACATGCTCGTGTATTGATGTTTCTAGAGAGGAACACAGAAAGCATTCATCTGGTTGTGCATTCCTTTCTGTCAAGAAGCAGTTTGAAGAATTAACCCTCAGTGAATTTTTGAAACTGGACATGCAAAGAACCAAGAACAAAATTGTATGTATTACTGGGAATAAGAACTAAGACCAAACCCTGTTTAATGTCGTAGTACTAAACTACCCAGTCCCTCAAAAACACTAGAGGGACTCTGTGTTTTCTTCAGGAAGCATTTTTAAAGCCCCTAGGTGTGTGTGAGGACGAAGGGACAGAAAAGCATCTGTCCTGGAGTGTGGGACAGAAAAACACGCTTCCTTAGTAAAGCAATGTTCAGCGTGAGGTTCCTTGGTGGGTGGAAGGAAGCTAGGACTGGCTTCCGGCATTCAGGAAGTCATTTACATGTCTACAGTTCGTGTGTCAGCAGTGTCTGAGGGCCCATAGTAGAGATTATTTTGGGAAGGGGCATAGAATGTGTTAGGAAGAGGCAAGAGTCCAGCTGGACCTGAAGAGATTTCTGCAGGTGGACTTTGACTCCTGTCTAGTTGTACTGGGTTATTGGGAGAGTAGAAGTCCTGAGTCTACACGAGGTGCCTCCCCAGCAGCCCAGGGTGTGCCAAAGACCAGGGCTCCCAACTAAATATGAATTTCAGATAAACAAGGAATAATTTTTTAGTGGAAGTATATCCCACATTTTGAATGGGAGTAAAAACATTACCCGTTTATCTGAAGTTCAAATTTAACCAGTTACCTTATATTCTTATTTGCTAAGTCTGGCTGCCATATAGAGAATAAATACTGGGGGATACCAAGGTCAAGGGTTTGGGTCCCTGTACTGGCCAGCCACCAAAAAAAAAAAAATACTGGGGGGCTTAATATCCTCGTAGCAAAGCACTGGGCTGGAGTCAGGAGACATCGTACTTCTGTCTCTGGCACTTTCAGACTGTGTGAATTTAAGCCAGTCTTGGTTGCACTTTCCTTACTACAAAATGGAAGATAGATGCCCATTGCCCCTGCTGCATGCTTTCTGAGGTCCCTTTCAGCTTAAAAATTGTGTTCTTTTTAGAGATAAGTATAAAATAATTCTGTCTAACATAGTAGCATTTGAATGCGGGGGGCTAAAATTGTCTTTTGCCAGGAAGAGGGAAGAAATGAGTGGTCAGTAAAGCAGGTAGTGGAGAAGCTACTTCCTCCACTGAGGTCTTGGGAACTGCAGTGTTGGGACTGGAAAGTGGGCTCAGGAGAGCCTTCTAGGGTGGGGGCAGCAGACTTTCTGTAAAGTGCCCCAGAAAGTAAGTATTTTAGCCTTCAGGGGCCACATAGTCTCTGTTGCATGTTATTTGTTATTTTTGTTTTGTCCATAACCATTTAAAAATGTAAAACCATTCTTAGCCGGTGGTCCACACCAGAAAAGACCGTGATGGGCTGGCCCTGCTTTGCCAGCCCCTGTTCTAGGTGAAAGAGCAGCTTGTGTACCTGAGGAACGGTCATGAGGAAGGTGCCTGAGCACAGAGGGGGAAGAGCAGGGCGTGGCAGGGCGAGGTGGAGCCAGGAGGGGCGAGGTGGAGCCAGGAGTGGAGAGGTGGAGCCAGGAGTGGAGAGGTGGAGCCAGGAGTGGAGAGGTGGAGCCAGGAGTGGAGAGGTGGAGCCAGGAGTGGAGAGGTGGAGCCACGTGGTGCTGAGGAAGACAAAGGAGTTCGGGTTGTTGTCTTTGCGAGCAGGAAGACGCTGAGTTCTGACACAGTCCAGCTCCAGAATACCGATTAAGTGCTCATGGACGCTGGGGACTGTGCTCAGCTCTGGGGTTACAAGCATGATGATGACATGGTCTGGCAGAAGTAGTTGAGTCACCTGTTGGAAGAAGCGGTCAGGAAGCTGCACTGGCGGTAGCTTTTGGGTGTGTGAGCCAAAGGGGCAAGTGGTGGAAGCAGAAGCCCACCAGGAGACCTCGCAGTCTCCATCTCCCGGTGCGTGGCCATCGGGGGCCAGAACCAGACTGGAAGGAGGTGTCGATACCCCATCCTGGTGAGAAAGTGGGGAGACATGAAAGAACTGTTTGCCTTTCCTTTTGCAGCTGTGCTCTCTGGTACTGTAGCCATTAGCCACACGTGGCTGTAAAAATAAAAATTAATTACAATTAAATAAAATTTTAAATTCAGTTCTCCAGTTGCACTAGCAGTATTTCAGGTGCTCCGTATCTACACATGGCACTGGGTACAATACTGGACAGTGCAGCTAATATGACTTTTTCTTGTCCATTTCTCACCACTCTACTAATGAGGAATAGAATATTTTTGTCACTGCGGAAAGTTCCATTGGACAGGGCTGTACTAGATTGTCAATTGTGAGGTTTGTTAAAAATTATTTATAACTAATATGAGAACTCATGTCCCCACACACTTTCCCATGCAAATGAGATGTAAGGGCTGGGTCAGAGCCAGGATGCACGGACGGGCACCACCAGAGCCTGTGTGTTCTGCCAGGGTCATGTCCCTCAGGGAGGGGTGCTGGCATGTGAGCCCCACCTGCTTGTAGGGCCAAATTGGGAACTGTTGTCTATTAATCAAGTCCCTTACATGATTGCAGGACTTAGTCTAAGATGGGACTAGTTTGTCAGGCATTCTTTTAAAAAGAACTAGATAAAATAATTATGTGTTGTGGTGTACAAATACTGAAGACAGGGAAAGAGTGCTGTCCGTTGTGATGCTGGGAATTTCTGAGATCCCAGAGCTAAAGGTGAGATGCTGCTGCTGGCTGGTTTGCCAGGATGCTGGGAAAGTGGGCCGCAGATGAGGAAGCCTGGGTCGGGGTCCTGCCTGGGGCGCACCGTGCTCTCTGATTCTTGTTCCTGCCACTGCATGGATGCCTCCGGCTTTTGAAACAATGAAATAGATTAGAATCAATTCCAGGATACTGTATATCAGTCGAGGGAATAAACTGAATGTGGGAATAAACAGAGAAACTTACTTCTTAGTAAGACTGGTTTATAAATACGTGTGATAAGGATATAGCGAAACACTGGAAGGGGGAGGACCGAGGCCTCCATGGCAGATGTTTTTCAATAGTGACATTTCTGGTTTTTGCTTCAGCTCTCCCTTTATTGGAAAATGTATAAAATGGAGATATTGACTGCCGTATCGTAGTGACGGTTAAATTACAGCATGTGTACAGAGGAGCTTAGTTAATTTTAGGCTTTGGCTGGCCAGTTTGCTCAGTTGGTTGGAGCACAGTGTTACGACACCAAGGTCAAGGGTTCAGATCCCCGTACCGTCCAGCTGCCCCCAAAAAACACAATCATAATTTTAGGCCTTTTTGAAAGAGACGGAAAAGTAAATTATATACACACATATATATATATTTATATATATATATTTAAAAGCCATGGTCATCTTTCCATATCAGCAAAGACGAGGTTCTTAGAAGCTGCAGAGTTGTCCATTGCAAGGGGCACCATTATTTTTCAGGTGCTGTTTTCTTTCTTTCTTATTATTTTAAAAATTAGTTTTCTTTTAATGAATTTTAAAATAATGAAGACTTACACCTGGGACAAAATTTAAGATACACAAAAATGTACATATTGGAAAGTAATTTTTTGAAAGTTAGCCTCGGGCCGGCCCAGTGGTGCACTGGAGAGTGTGCCGCTTGGGAGTGTGGCAGCACTCCCGCCGAGGGTTCGGATCCCATGTGGAGACCGGTTCCCGCTCACTGGCTGAGCGCGGTGCGGGCACAACACTGAGGGTTGCGATCCCGTTGCCGGTCCCCGTACGACACCGAGGGTTGCGATCCCGTTACCGGTCAGTAAAAAAGAGACAAAAAAAAAAAAAGAAAGTTAGCCTCTATTGCTTAACTTATTAGAAAATATATTTAACGCAATAAAGGTCTTCTGTTTGTTTTTTAATGTGGCAGAGAAATTAAGGAGAATAAAAAAATAGGAGAGGGAAGGAGGTCCCTGGATTTGCTACTGTGATGATTGTCATTTGCTCCTTTGGAGAGAGCACTTTCAGCAGAAAGCAAAGGTCGGAAGCTGGATTCAGGAGGGACTGGAAATGAAAATAAATTTTTCTGTTTGAGGAAAAAGGTGACGTCTGACAGGGTCTGTTTAATTGCACCCGAGGAGGAGGGCTCTGGGCTCTTGCTGTAGGAGTTTCAGAAGCAAGGCAGGGTGGTGGGGAGGAGCTGAGCTCTGCCACAGACCGTTTTCACTCTGGTCCTTGTCCCTGCGTCTGCGTAATAGGGATATGACAGCCCCTACCTACCTCACGGGGACGTTGTGAGCAGTACATCAGTTCATGTGCACGAAGCAGGCAGAGAGTTGCTTGGTACACACAAGTGTTGCATCGCGTTTTCTATTATTAAATTGTTAGGAGGAAGTTGAGTCGAGTCAGGATACTTGCCTCGTACAGCTGGATGTCCACCCTAGCACAGCACCCAGTTTACTCAGGGGCTCAATAAATGTTCCCTGCTTTTTTTTTTTTTCCTTTTTGATCTTATCTGCAGGTGTGATTTGGAAGCTCTTGTTTCAGTTTCACATGTTTATTTTTTTTGGCAGCTGGCTGCTACCGGGGGATCCGAACCTGTGTCCTCAGTGTTACAAGGCTGCGCTCTAACCGACTGACCTAACCAGCCAGCCCCTAAATTTTTTCGTGTGTGTGACTGGCTGGTACAGGGATCTGAACCCTTGACCTTGGTGTTATAACACCACGCTCTAACCAGCTGAGCAAACTGGCCAGCTGTAACATGTCTATTCTTTATCTCCAGGCAAAGGAAACCAGCAGTAAGAAGAAAGAATTTGAAGAAACTGCAAAGAAGGTGCGCAGTGCCATTGAGCAGCTGGCATCCTTGGAGTGAGGCCTCCTGCCCTTTTCACCAGGCAGAGGCATTGTCTCCAGGGCATAATCCTCAGCGTCTCCAACCTTCCTGGAGGCCCCTTAGGAAAGGAGCACGTCAAGGTTTTGAAATGAGACATTTCAATTATATTTTCATTTTTTCTTGAAAGTGGCACCGGCGGCTACTTCTGCCTCTGCAGCTGCTGCTGCTCGTTACAGTGACCGGCTCGCGCTCGCTCTCTCTCTGTCTCTGTCTCTCTCTCTCTGTCTCTCTCTCTCTGTCTCCGTCTCTCTCTCTCTCTCTCTTTTGTAGCTTTTGCTTTATTGACTCCCGACCTGCCAGGTGAGAAGTGGTGAGGAGAGGGCAGCGTTTCTCTGCTAGAACCAATGGCCCTCTTCACTCAACACACAATGAGTGTGTCTGGGCCCCACGCTGGGGACCAGCTGTCCTCTCCATCCTGGGTGTGGGCTCGGCCATGAGTGTTGACTCTGAACTGCGGTTCCTCACCCGTCACCCCTGTGCTGCCTCAGCCAGCCTTTTTTTCTGTAGATACATAATTTTTGTGTGGTAAGGAGGGGAACCGACACAGAGTCCCCAGCTCCTCCCAGCATTTCACAACATGGTTTTCTTATTTTGTTTGAATTACTATTTCACAGAACAATACGGACTACAACTAAAAGTAAGCACAAAGCCATTCTAAGTCATTATGGAGACCAGGGTGGACTTCTTTAGGTGGCTGTGGAGCCTCAGTGGACAGCAGGAAGTGTCTAGCAGAAACCCACTTGTGAGATTGCTGCGTGACCAGACAGGCCTTGTGAGCTGTCGGCACACGCCGGTGCTTGTTCTGTGAGGAGAGTGCAGAGGCCTCAGTCCTTTTTAAATTACTTGGCTTGGTGCTGTGGGGGCTTTCTGGGCTGCTGCAGGCTGTGCATCTGTCAGCCTGGTCGGCTGTCTCGACTCAGGGCTCCGTCCTCCCCATCTGTCACGTCCTCCACGTCAGGAGCAGGTGGGCACAGGGAGCGTTCCACACCGGTTCCCCACTTCCCTCCGGGAGGCCAGCTCCTGCAGGGCTGAACAGTGATGTTAAGATGATAGATTTGACTTCACCCTCCTTGACAAAGTCCAGCTGCGGGGTGAGTCCTTACAGTCCTATTGGAAACCTCTGGAGGCCGTCTTGGTCATTTCTGAGAAATAAAAAGGATATAATTTCAAACACTGCTGCAGACCCTACTGGGTTTTTTAAATATTGTTGGTTTTTCGTGGGGTGTCTTAGCCTGCCAGCTGAGACTACTTGCCCAAACTGAGCCTTCTTGGGGTGATGAGAGTCCTGGCTGAGCAGCTTTAGAGCCCAGGCCCGTCTGTGTCATCTGGACTCATTCCAGGGGTAAACGGCTATGAAAATGCACCTCCGTCTTATTTATTTCTGCCACCTCTTAGACAGCAAAATGTATTTTTCCCTCTAAACTTGGAAAATATTGCAGTGGTTTTTGTTAGGAGAAAAAAGCACTCTAGCCTCCATGCTTACCTATGCTGCTTATTTGTGATATTTGTGCCAGTCTGTAAGTGGGTGCTTCACTTTAATAACTCATCCTCACAAACTGGCTCTGTAGAGAAGCGGAGGGAAAAAAACAGTGTTGTCCTTAGTTCGTCTGCATGAAAGGTAATGATGCAGGTCTGGGCTTTTGTGGGTCTGCTGAGGGCGAGGATGGGCTGGAGCCGACCCCTCTCAGCCACCTCTACCACACACATTTCCTCTTCTAGGAACTTTATTTTGTAAAGGCCATATTTATCACAAGATGTCAATGACTGCCAGTGTCTGAAAGCTTAATTGACATCTACTAATAAAGCCTTGGGCCCTTGTCTAAGGGCCACTGCCTCGACTTTCTTTCAAGGGGTTGGCCAGTTAGCTCAGGTGGTTAGAGAGCGGTGCTGGTGACCCCGAGGTCCAGGGTTTGACCCCTGTACCAGCCAGCTGCCAAAAACAAAGAAAGAACACGTGCCTCCTTCTCAGGTTCTCTAGGTCAGGTTGGAGTCTGGGGAGCTTGTAAATGGAGGGTTATAGACTGTTGGCTGGGGAGTGATTCACATGCTGCTGCATCAGGCTTGAATGGCAGGTTAGAGGCCTAGGGCCAGTCTCGGAACTCAGAATCCTCCCTGTCTCCAGGGAGTGGGGACAGCAGGACCTTGTGGAAAAGGGACCGCCAGCCCCCCAGCTGAGAGACTAACAGGCCAAAGGTGGGCTTGTGGGCCGCTGCCCACTCTGCAGCTCACACCCGCTTAAAAAGAAATAACAGCTCAAAATCGCCAACAAACTCTAACATGATTTTATATGCATTTTTAAACCAACAAACTCTAATGTGATTTTATCTACAGAAATGGAGATGTATAGAAGGGGTGAAATATCTTGTCCAAGATCATACAACTAGTGTTAGGGCTGGGATTCAGACCCAGGCAGCCTGGCAACAGAGCTGGGTCCTGACGGCTCGCTGACACTGCCCAGTCTCGGGCTTGTGGTCAACTCTGGGGAGGTTCCAGGGAGACAGGGCTGTCTTTAAAGCGTTCCCACTTCGTTTTCAGGCAGCTTTAATCGTCAGAAGCTCTGTCATTGGAACTGAAACCTGCCTCCGCAAGGTTTCCATTGATCCTCCCAGTACATTCTAACTTTTTATTTTGAAATAAAGATGTACGTGAAGTTGTAAAAGCAGTACAGAGGGGTCCTGTGTACCCTTCCCCTAGTTTCCCCCATCGTCACGACAGTACGACATCTGTACTCCCTTTCCACATCCAGGGTCTGAGCTGGGAGGAGGAGCTCTGTGGCCCAGCCTGCCCGGCCTGTCTTTCCACGGAGTAGTGCTTCTTGTCTCCTTGTGGGCGAATCCAACTCTCAAAGCAGGGCCCGCTGAGCTGCGGGGTCTCTTCATGGGCTCAGCCTAGTATCTGCACCAGTTTTCAGCTGCATGGGACCAAACTGGGTCTTGGCTTCTAGGGTTGTTTCCATGGGATCCCCAAAGGGGTGGCATTTATCCATTTGTGCACTCAGCTATTTGAGCACCTGCTGTGCGCCAGGTGCTGCATCCAGGAATTGAAGGCTGGAGAGAGCTCAGTCTCCTGGTGGGCTCACAGGGCTTCTTCTTGTTTTCTGAGTGGTGAGAAGACAAAGGCCAGCAAATAGCCCTGTGAGCCTGGCAGGTGTCTGTAGGAGCACCGAGGAGAGGACGACAGCTCTGCCCTGTGGCAGCAGGAGAGGACATCTCAGAGCATTCTGTTCGTCCAAGCGTGAGGAGGAGGCTGCCAGGTGGACCAGGAAGGGGGAGTGGGCTGGGCAGAGGGAGGGGAGGGCTGTGACTGTGCCGTGGGGTGGGAACGTGGCATTGGCCATCTGCCTGCTTCCCCGGGAGCAGATGCAGTGTGAAGCCCCTCACAGCCCTGAGTTCTGCCTGGGGATGAGACCACCCAGCTCTTCAGCTGCCTGCCAGTCATGGACACATCTCACAAAGGACACTGGCTGTCTGTGTAAAGTGAAAAGGCACGTAGGTCCAGCCTATGGCCTCAGAACAGTGCCTGAGTCTACCAGGATGAGCTGGCTTCACAGTGTACCCTGAGCGGACGGATTGACCTGTTGGGGAAGTGACTTAATGAGGCTCAGTTTGTGCTGGAGGGTGGTTGCCAGAGGCAGTGAAACTGGTCGTAGTGTAGCCGATGCTGAGCTGCTCTGGCGGCAAGTCAGCCGGCGGGTCCAGCTGATTCCCCAGTCTGCGCTGTAGGCGACAGACCTCAGCTGTAGCAGGAGGCCCTGCTGCCCCAGCCCTGGGGTCAGTCATCCTGTTCTTCCAGCCACTGACGTGAGGTTTAAACAACGAGGCTTAGATGCAGCCTTGTTTCTTGTCATTTATAATTTCAGTTTCTCCCATCAAATGACCACTACTGCCCTGATTTCAGCAGGAGAGGTCTGATGCTGGCTTTGAAGAGGCCCCAGCAGCCTGAGTTACAAGTTGGTGTTACGAGTTGATTAAAGGAAGTTGAATAATGAAAAATGATGGGCTGTTGAAAGCAGGACCTTTCCAGATGGCTGGGGTATAATGTGGGTCCATTTCAAGGGAAGAATACTGGCGGAGTCTATCAAAGTAGGATAGGCTGGAGGACTGGGACCTACTGCCTAGGGGATAATCTAATCAGTGGCTCCAACTGCACATCTGGGGTTTAAGGCACTGAGCTCAGGCTTTAGTGCAGATGGGGTGTGGATGGCTAAGCCTGCCCTCCTTTAGTACTGCAGCATGAGTGACGTACATGTACCCTCTTCTGCAGAGGTGTGTGGTTCTGTGATGCCTCTTGCAAAAACCTCCTGCATGATAGTGGCCTCAAGTAGCACCTGTCTCTGGCCTTGACGGCTGAATCCTGTCCTGCTCAAGATTTATGTGGATGCACAGAACAGAGACCCTTTCAGACCAGCTCAGCTCCGGAGGAAGCACATGGAGCATGCAGCCAAAATGGGGTTCCTCCAGCTCCCCTAAACAGTCCATTCCTCGTACACACGAAAGGAGGTTTTGACCCAACCGAGGCAATACTGATCCTTGTTATATTGCTTTACTGTGGATTATATGTTTGGGTGGCCACAAGTTTTCATTATTCACCGTTCTTTCCCCGGCTATAGCCAGACTCTGGGGCTGGACGGAGGCCCCAGCAGCAGGGTTGCCCACCCCTCCTGCTTTTGTAGCCAACTGCTGCTCTCCGAGCACCTGGGGATTCTTCCACCTGCCAGGTCTGCTGTGGGTTAAGTGTGTTCCCCAAAGGTTCATGTATGGGAAACTTGACCCCCATCGTAAGAGTGTTAAGAGGTGGGAAATCCTATTATGGTAGTTGAAAGGCAGGACGTTTAATAGATGATTAGATTGTGAGGACTGTGCCCTTGGGAATGGATTGATTCATTCATGGAGTATTGGGTCAGGTTCTGATGGCTCTATCAGGAGAGCGAGTGAGAAGGTAGCTCTCTGCTCAGCCCATTCTCGCCGTGTGACACCCTGAGTTGCTGTAGAGAGTCACCCCACCAGGAACGAGGCCCTCACCACATGTGTTCCCTGGACTTTGGACTTCCCAGCCTCCAAACTATAAGAAATAAATTTCCTTTCTTTATAAATTACCCAGTTTCAGGTGTTCTGTTATAAGCCACAGAAATGGATTAATACAAGGTTCAATGTCCCCCCGAGAGAGAAGGGCCACTGGCTGCCACACGGCTCCCAGGGCAGGGGCTGTGGGCAGGGCAGCGCCAGCTCTAGGGCTGTCAGGCACAGCGGGCACCTTGACTGATGCAGTGGGAAACCCCCAAGCTGCCTGTGCATCCCAACCGTTTTCGGTGCAGGTGTGTGGAAAGATGAACTCCCTGCTGCAAAATACCCGAATAGTTCCCTGAACAATTCTGCGCTGCTGTGTCTGAATTCTGTTTGAAATATTGTTTCAATGAATTTGCTAAGATCGTTTTTATTTCCTGACTATATTCTTCAAACCAACAAGACCCTGGTAGAGAAAAAGTGGCCAGAACAACACCCAAGATGAGAGCCCAGGATTGGCTGTAAGTCAAGCTGCTTCACTCAAGAAGGGCCCCCCTCAGTAAGGATGTCGCCCCCAGACTCCCTCTCTGCAGGCTCTGGGTACAGCAACCCAGGGGACGCCCTCCCTTCATCCAGGATTTAACCTTAGACTGCCCGCTATGGCTGCCCGGCCTGTCCTTCCCAACTGTGTCACTGCCTGCGCCAGGATTCCTCATAGAAGCCTGCTCCTGGGCAGGGGCCTCTTTGTGGCCCTTTTGTCTCCTACCCCCACTAGTGCCTGACACCTGTCCTAGAAGTTTCGCTGAGTGTCTGGACAGGCAGAGGCTGGCCTTGCCAATGGGGCATTTGTAATCGTGAACTGATGTGAAGCAAGATGTTTTCCTTTGTGGCCCTCTTGCCAGCCAGCCTGAGCCCTGGACCCACCCACCCCACTTCACTGGCTCCCATCTGGTTGGTCTTCAGGACCGATTAAGACCGGGACCCCGGGGCTGGAGATGTCCCAGGGGGCCTGGCTGCCTTAGCTGCTCAGGGCTCCCGGGAGCAACTGGAAATGTGGTCTGCTGCCTGCCGGGCGTCCTCCCCGCCGGCCCCAGGCCTGGCCTTCCTCCTCTCCAGCTCCAGGCACGTTCCTGACTGGCTGCTGAAAAGCCGGAGGTTTAGAGGTTAAGACACAGGCTCAGGCACTGCAGCCCTCTGGTGGGAACACTGGGTTTTGAGCCCAGGTCTGGGCACTGCTGCCTGCAGCTCCGCGGAATCGTCCTCCTTGCCCCTAGGGACCACTCTGTGATAGCAGGTGGGACCGATCTCCCCACCACCCGAGGAGGTGCCACAAGGCCAGCAGCACGGGCAGGAAAGGCGGTTGTACCCAGAAGAGCCACGTTCCCCATTCCCTGGCGCCCCCTCTT